TGCCACACCCCTGATCTTCTGGTAGGAAAGATCTACACCTAGCCTTCTCGGACAAGGGCGAAAAATCTCGGAGGGCCAGTGTGCAAGTTGCGCACGAGATCGTGGTCTAAAATCGATAAGAGTAGGCTTCAGCCGCCACATGGGCAAAATTCAAAATTTCCTACCAACTAAAAGTATTAGGCGTGTCGCGCGCGCCCACATGACCTTATGCAGTTGCGAGCGCCGTAAAAAAATTACCCCCCCCCCAAAAAAAAAAAATTATGCAAGTTACCGTAACGCTATTCACGACATATTTTGCGCTTTTTCAACAAGAATGTTCATGTTAAAGATCTATGTACAGAAGAATTGAAAACAGAACGTATCAGTCAGTAGGTTATTTGTGTAGGCTACTTGGAAAGATACACATCAGTCAGAAAAAAACAACCAAAAAATATAGGCCTACATGTAATCTCTGTAACGTAACTTTCAGCTGTATAGAGGTCAGAAAAATAATTTTTATAAACTAAAAAAACAAAAACAAAACAAAAACCCCACCATCTGGATCTCTGATGCTGGCTCGTCACTAAAACCAGGAACACCTGTCAAACATTAAACATAAGCAGAAATGAGAATAACTTTTACTTTTTATGGATTGAAAAATTGAACTAACGTCAACGTGCTCAAGGAACAAAAATCCATAACAAAAAAACAACTTTTTCACTTAAATGAGACTTATTACTCTTGATTCCTTCCCTTTAGTCACACAGTAAGGTGTTCAGTTAAATTGTTTTGTGAAAAATTAAAAAAAAAAAAAAAAACTTGAAAAAAAAAACCCAGCGGTGAATCCAAAATAATGCAAATGTTGCAGAATTATGCGAAAAAAAACCCGCGACGGCACAATCGCATAATCCGGCGGGGACAGCTAATTTTACCGCTGCGGGTGACCCCCTCCTCCTTCAACAATAAATACATAGTAAGTTCATCAAGATAGCCGGGTATTTTTAAAAATTTTAATAAAGCAAGACAAATCTGTCCCCGTCGTTTTATGCAAGAAAAATTATGAAATTATGCAAAATGAGCCCAATAATGTGAAATTATACGATTCTGTTAATTTTAATAAAGAATGATAACGGAAAATAATACGAAATTATGCTAAAAATTATCAAATTTTGCTAAATTAAAATTATGTGGGATGCATAAAACCACGGGGACAGACAAATGAACAAGTTTTAAGGTGATATCAGTAGATAACTCTACATACCCAAAAAATGGAC